TAATAGTCAAACCAAGCATCATAATTCAATGGATTTTTCCGAACTTCATCCTCATACTGAAACCTCCTCTTTCCCACGATGGCGTCCTCAATCCCCTCCCTATCTCCATACTGCTTCTCAAAAGCTACAAACTTTCTATACAAATCCTCAGCCCTACCCTTCGGAATATGATCCAGTGCAAACTTGTAAATACACCTAGCCCTCTCCACCTCTTTACACTTCTCTTCAAACTCAGCAAATGCTACAAACAATACCTCGGCCTCCTCATCATCGGCCAACTTATCCACAGCCCTCTCATAACAGTTTCTAGCGCGAGCAATATCCCCATTTTTCATCTCAAACTTAGCAAACCTAATCCAAGCATTCACTTTAGGATGACATTCTACAAACCTCTCAAAGATTGCCCGCGCCCTCTCAACCTCATTATACCTCAACTCAAACTTAATGTACGACAACCATCCCTGTTGGTCCGGTTGCCAACTCATCCATCTTTCAAAAATTTGCCGCGCCCAGCAACATTCCGAGCATCTCCTCCATATGAATGTACTTATACCACAGCTGATCAACCCGGGGCAAGAGTGTAACTGCCCGGTCCCAAACATTCCTAGCATGATTAACGAACTTATTCTTCATTTCAACTTCAGCATACTTCAACCACATAGTGTGGTCTCGATAATCCACTTCGAGGGCCCGTTCCCACACGGACCGGGCACGGTTAAAATCGTTCTGGGACTCTTCCCACTTGGCGTATTTGACCCAGACACTTTTGTTCCATCGCACACGCCGAATTAAATCCTCGAATTCTTTGCGTTTGCGGAGACGGTAGTCAGCAAGCTCGGATGGGTCAGTAATTTTCTGTTTAGGTGGTCGGATTTCAGCTTCTTGGCGTTCTCGGGCTTCTCGAAGGATTTGCTCGGCAGTAATTTGGATTGGCGCCGGAGTTTTGTTCTTGACCCGAGTTGGCCTGGGGAGCTTCACCTCCGTTTCTTTGTGGGTTAGGTAGCCCAACGAAGGGTCGGATTCTTTCATAGAACCCATCTTTGTTGTTGTGTTGTGAGGTGAGGTAGTAAGGAGGACAAAAGTGTTTCCGAAGTTGAAACCTTATGTAAGAATTTATTGGGTTTTCTAGGTTTCCACCTGAGAGGATAGACACAACTGGGTTTTAGAATTCGGTGTTTCCGGTGGGCGGAGGGACGTGGCCGCCGGTGAAGGCTGTGCAAAATATATGCTACTGTAAATGAATTAGGGTAGAAAGAAGAAGGTTATTGGGAATTTGAGGAGGATTATGACTGATTCGGTGGGGCAGCAAGAATGAGAGGGAGGAGGAGAATTTTGGGATTGCTTGAGAGCTAAAAAAAATCAGCGGCGGAGGGAGTTTGAAAATTGTAAAGGGCCGCGACTGAGTTGCGGGCTTAGAAGAATGGGGAGTAGGACGATTTGGGGTTTGCCATGGAACAAAGAAACCGCCAGCGACAGGAAATTAATGGGGGACCGGGGCTCTTTTTTTTTTTTCCCCCTATAATGTCGTCGACTTGGTTTCTAAAATCCATTTCTAATATTAATAATCAAAAGTAAAACGTTGTTTTGAATCAAGTGACCACCTAGTACTCTTTTTTTTTTTTTTTTTTTTGGAACATATTTTTACTGTAAGACTCCTATATATTTTCGCCAAAATAACAAGAATGGCTTCTACATTTATTTTCGCAATTTGCAAAGCCCCTGAAGTTTGCCAAGTTGATTTCATTAGTATACTTCCTGCTAATGAATTGGTGTATTGCACCACGTATATATAGTCTTGATCCTTTTATCACAGGGCGTTGTCGACTTGTAGACGCAGTGCCTATTTTGGGGATCTCTATTACTCTATTTTGACATTTTGGGTGATAATTAATGCAATGGTGTGAGAGCGTTTGTGGGAGATTTATGATGAAATATGTGGACGTCTATCTTAGACTGATTTTCTTGTTGACTGCTTAAAATATTAGACATCCTACCATGAAAGAAAACAGATAAAGCATGCCCTATAAAATTGAGGAAGCTACATTTGGTGCTTCTTTTTTTTTTTTTTAAGTTGCTGGAAAATTAATATATATGCTACATTATGAAGTATTCATTGCATATTTGTATGCATGATTGCGAATATCATAAGTAGTAATTTCTTGTTATCTAGACTTCTTTTCGGATCTTGATTTTCATCATCTTTTGTCTCCGGAAGTTCTGTGGAGGTAATCCCTCTCCCTTTATTCGGCTCACCTGTACTGCATGCAAAAAGATAACGAAGACAGAAAAAGAATGCCCGCGATCAGATGATTTTTTAAAGCAAAAGTTGTTAGAGATTGCCATAGCATTAAGATCATCAATTGCTTGGAAGAAATATGCATGAATCTTGATACTCTGAATCATGGCAGCGTACGCTGACCTTAATTTCCTGACGGCAATGTCATTCATTTACAGTTTACACCATAGACAAGTTCTTTGATATCTATTTATTCTTCAATGAGTAGCATGTGAGTTTGTTTAACCACATTTTCTATCCTAAACTGTTTTGCACACTATCAGCATTGAGAGAAGGCATATCTCTTTTCTTTCTTGCTTGGAATGTTTCGTGTTTCTTTCTTTGATTGAGGATTTCCCGTGATAAAACTTGGCAGGTTCATAGGCATCCTTGGCTCTGTTTCTGGTGAGAACCCCAAACATGTTCTTGAATTCATGGGCTACACAAGTTAGTTTTCACAGTCTTGTCGTTTCAAATTTTGTTCGTGTACAAATTTCACCACATCTGGAATTGCATGGTTTGCAGACCGCAGTCTTCATCTTTACTCAGATTGGGAGTCTGTGCTGAATCTGCTGTTTAAACAAATTCTACACAGAACTTGGAGCAGACATGACGAAACACTGGAAGGACTCCATGAAGTTATTTCGAAGTCATATCGATCCTGAAACGGAAGAACGACTGAACTGGACAAAACTAGGTAAATTTTATAGCCCAGAACAACCTCAACCCTTACAGTATTATCGGAGGTTGTGGGGTTCTTCCATACTGAACAATTCAATGCAATTTAAAGCTCACCTGCCAGATCAATGTTATCCTCAACGTCGATTTTTGTGGTATACAGAATTGCAACGGGTACGCAGTAAGTTTGCCTGTCCTGTATGATGGGGGTAGTACTGTTATGATTGTTGAAATTGGTAGCTATAAATCCATTTTCTGATGAAGATTATGATGTGCTTCATCATAGTACTATAGTAGTGCAAACGTCCTCTTGCCAAAGAACTTTGCTAGAATGGGAGAGTTCTTTCTTTGTGTACTTTCACAAGAAATAGAGGTTTGGATTGCTCTAATGCAGAGGCAGCAAGACCAGAACACGCAAAATATTGATAGGCAACTCTCTGTGCTAATTTGGCCGAACATTAGAAAAGGGTAGAGGTTTTTAGAAGTATGGCATACCATATCAAGGGCGTACCTGTATTCCATGATGGTTCTTGACCAAAATGAATGCAAAAGTAGCCCTTATACTTAGATAGTCTGAAACCAAAAACTACATGATGGAATACAGCAAAATTCCATGGTTGTAGCTGTTTACTTTCTGCCTGTTGTGAAAATTCTGTTTTCTTTCAGAGCAATGGTACTATAAGGCATAACATTTAGACCTAAAGACGGAAAGCCTCAGAGATGGCATTACGCATATCAAAGAGCTTGCACTTATTTCCTAACTGATGCTTCCTTCACCGAACACACCTGTGTAAAAGATTTTGGCAAATGTGACCGTATGTGATTTGTACAATATACGCATAGAGTCACTTCCTTTTTCTCCCCGTGAATTTTTGGAGAGTTATTTCATGTTCTGTAGGCCATTCATGCATTATGTCTACGTTATCACACAACATTTGTTTTTGTGCAGAAACTGAGAACAAGGTCAAAAGGTCTTTGAAGCTTATTAAGAGCATCAACCAAAACAGAGAAGCGAATCTAAAGAAAAAGATGGAACTTACTCAGCTCGTTGAGGATATCCACAAAGAGTACCAATCCATTTATGCCCTCTATGATAATATCAGAGGCGAAGTAGGAACAAAGTGCATGGAAAAGATGAATCAGGTTCTCTTCTTCTTCATCTACTTCTTCCTTGGGGTCCAACTCAGGTACAGAATATTATACACCAGAGGAACTAAATGCGAGAAATGCGGTACCTAATGTTGAGCTTCAAAAGGTAAGGAAAAGTGACAATCGAAAATGTGAAGATTCAGATCCAGAAGATGCCATCTTAAAAGATAAATTGACCTCCACCAGTGAAATTAAGAAATCCCCAAGCGTGGACTCATTAGTATCTTTCACGAAGCACCAATCAAGTGTAATTTTTAAAGATCTAAGGATTCAAGAAGAGCAGCCTCAAAGCGTGAGACAAAAGTTACTTGATGAATGTGCACAGTTAAAGGAAAAATTGCATGAGAAAGAAGAGGAGATAGTGTCCATCTCCAAGAAACTCCAAGCTTTTGGGGACCAAAAATTGTTTGAGATAAGGAGCTAGAGAGGCAGGTAACAAGTCTGAAGCTTGAGCTGGAAACAGTGACCTCGCAGAAAAAGACCTTAGAAGAGACAGTTGAGACCAGGTCTAATGAAGCTAAACAGATGGGGAAGGAAAATTCAAGACTACAAATTCTGATCAGAGAACTTGAATCACTATCAAAAGAGAAAGAAACTCAAATTTCTTCTCTTCTTGAGAAATTTGAAGAAGACAAGAAGCAGTCACTGTCTAAATTTAAGGACCTGATGGCACAAGCCAGTGAGCTTCAGCTGGAAGTAGATAGTTTGCGCTCTCAGAAACGCATATCAGAAGAGCAATTGATGCATGCAACGAATGAAAGATCTAATCAAGTCAGTAGTCTAGTAAAACAGGTAGAGTTTCTGCAACAGCAAACTCGATTTCATCAGCAGCCAAAGGTCTGAGTTGGAGTCGCAACATAAAAATGAATCTCTAGAAGCATCAGAATGCTTTATACAGATGGAAAAGACGAGAGATAAATTAACAGACAAGGCCTTAAATGGGCAAGAGATAACAGAAGACAAGGCCTGTCTAAAAGTAAAGGTAGAAGAGTTGGAGCAGGAGATACGTACAATATCCAGTCAGAAGATTGAGTTGGAAGATCAGATAATTAGCACAAAGAATGAAGCATATCATCTAAAAGTTGACAATGAGAATCTCCACAGAAGAATTTTCGTCTTGGAGACAACTGTGAAAGAGAGAGAACATGAGCTATCTGCCCTTCAAAAGAAAATTGAGGCTCAGGAAAATGATATGTCAACTCAGATTAAATCATTAACAGCACAGATAAACAATTTCCATCAAAAACTGGGAACCTTGCACGATGAGAAAAGCGGCCTGCAACTGCAACTTGAGCAGGAAAAACAAGTTTCTTCTGAGAGCCTAAATCATATGGAGAGAAAGAACATCGAATTGACAAAGAAGATTGCAGATCAGCAAAAAACTGTGGCAGGGCTGGAGGAAGCTATCAACATGTTGAATATGGAACACAAACAAGTCCAAAATAGATTTGACGATTCCAAGTTGAACTTCCAGATCGCAGAGAGGAAAATAGAAGAAATGGCCGAAGAGTTCTTCAAAAAATGTGGGGACAATCTCCGCATCTTGAGCCGGAGAATCCGAGTTGCAGAACAGTTGCATGTTGAGAACAAGGAATGGTACGAGAAGACGAAAGACAGGTATGAGCAACAAAACAAGGAGCTCAAAGAAAGGGTAGAAAATAACAAAGTTTGGCTTAGCAATATCAAGGATATGACCCTAACTGCAGACAGCACACTGTCAGATTTGGATGCTGTTGCTCTAAAGTTTGAAGGCTGCAGTGCAAACTTCCTCAACCGAATCTCCAAAGTTTCTTGTGAACTTAAGTTTGCAAAAGACTGGATCAAGAGGAAGAACAAAGCAATGACGCACGTCAAAGATGATCTAGATTGCCTACTTACGCAGCTGGATCACAAGGAGGCTGAGATATTAGTATTCCGAGAGAAACTCTGGAAATCAGAGAATAAAGTCAGAGAACTGGAGAAAATGATCACAGAGAACGAGGAAGCGATGTTGGCCCTAAAGGAAGAAAAAAGAGAAGCAATAAGAGCAGCTTTGCGTCTGGATTGATTATCACCGCAGCCACTCTGATTATTACAAGAAAATGATATCTGATAAGACACTTCAAAGCAGGAAAACAACTTGAGGGATTCTAGTTTTTTGCCTTTCACTCAAAATTTCCCATCTTTGGTCGAGGATTCAAAAGCAAAGTTTTGGATCATAGGCTTCATTTTGGGAATACTACATGATAGGTGTATGTTAGCATAGCTTGGCCTAGTGTTCCAAACTGTATCTAGCAGGGAAAGTGAATCAAGCTTCAAGCTGTGATTGTCAACTAAAAATTCTTTACCCTTGTTGCTACTGAGTTTGATGGAAGCTATTATCATGACTTTCGATTTTTGGCTCTCTAACGAATTTCGCTCATGTCGAGGGCAAATGCACCTAGTAAGATGGATATGTTTTCCATATCTACAGCTCAGGAATCAGGATCAGCAAGGACAAGATATAATTAGCATTTGCGGGCTTGTACTATCTGGGATATCTTTTGGAAGCATGTTGCTTGATTAATAAGTGTGTTTGTGATTGACAACATTTTAATAGACAAGAGTTCTTGAAGCCTGTTTCCTTGATGGGTGCTTGTTTTCAAACTCGAACAAGTGATTCTCGAAGTAAACGTCTTTGTAACGAGAATGTAAATTACAACCCTGATATTTTAATGGAAATTTTGAGAAAATGTGATAATTTAATCTCGTCAGCAGGCAACATGAGTGAGTAAAAGCTGTAACAAAGGCGCAGTACCACACACTTATTTGAGTTCACGCCTTTACTTCTTACGGAAGACGCGCGCTTTTTCCCGGGTAATTGTTATAGTCATTCGCACGCTCAATTGCAAAAGTACGGAATCGTTTGTGCAGCGCGCCAGCAATAAGGTCTAAGAAGAAAGTTACTTCGGTGCACACGGATCATGACAGTAGGGAGTACAAATTCTGCATTTGATACAAGAACCTTAATGGGCACAATTCTATTTGGATTTCTGCGAATTAGGGGGTAAGTAAATGGATTAACTGAATCCTACTGGGTTTCAAAGTAATTATCAAATCTACAGACAGAGACATTCCTAATTTTTAAGTTTTTTGCGAATATATTTTTTTTCAATCATCTTTTTCATCTCTCTCGTACATATATATATATATATATATATATATATTAATTGTTAAAGTATTTTTTTTTATAAAAAATTTTAAAAAATAGCAATCCGAATGGACGAACGGAATCTAAATATTTTTAATGTTATTTACAACAATGTATGGCATTCATGCAACGCCTGCAATTGGACGGCAGACTACTCAAATCAGCACAAACAAAAATGCACAGGTTGCCGTCGTGGGATCTACCTGTCCGAATAATTGCGTTATAATTGGACAAAAACCAACTGCAATTCTTCTGTGTCCTTTTTTTTTTTAACCCCCAAAAATTTCAGGTGCCAATTATAATGTTTGGAAAAGAATCAACGTTAATAAATTACGACAGCTTCACTGAGAGTAGTGAAGTAAATTTAACAACGTTTAGGGGCCATTAATGAATGTAGAAACTCCAAAGATTCCATCCGCTGTCAATTTGTAGCATTGTATTGGACAAACCCACTCAATTGCGTGCCCACTCAGCTGTTTCCTTTCTAACATGTTTTGACAGTTTGAGCCCTCTCTCTCTCCTCTCTCTTCATCTTGGATATAATGTATATTGCACTTTTTCCCCCCTAAGGTTTTTGCCTATCCTTAATTTCTGCCCGTAATAGAGTTAGGGTCTGTTTGGTTGGAAGTAAAATATTTTCCTTGAGAAAATATTTTCCGTGGAAGTAATTTTCCATGAAAATCATTTCCCTTTCATCATTTTTAGGTGTTTGGCTAGCTTATTGAAAATATTTTCTTACTTCATTTTTCTGGTGTTTGTTTAACTTTTGAAATATTTTCACTTTTATCTCTATATTTATTTTCTACACATTATAACTACATACTTCTTCTCATGCAAAATAAGAAAATTTATCTCATTGTTTAATTTTAAAAAATCTTGGAGAAATGTATATATGAATAAAAAATATCTCCTTAAGCAATAAACAAATTGCTGGCCATTTAGTGTCAAATATGAATCACATGCAATGCTTATTGTGACATATATCTTGCACTCTCACTGCTGAAAGTTTCTTTAGAAAAGAATATCCCTATTATACATAATTAATTACTAACATAGGATAAGCAGGATGAGGTTTTTTTTTTTATTTTGAATATACTAGGGGGGTTGGGTTGGGTGGTACAGGGGAGGAGTGTAAGGAAGAGGTCTTGGGTTCGAGTCCTCCTGTTTACACTAAAAAAAAAAAAAAACATACTACAAGATGTTTTCAGTAAGTTTGAAACATACTACAGGCGAGATGCATGCATTTCGGAAAACAACTTCAGTAAGTTTGGAAGGAAAGTTGTTTTCCATAAGATGAGTGAAAATATTTTACATAGAAAAATGTTTTCAGTAACTTTTGTGCAACCAAACAGAGAAAATTAGGAAAATATTTTTCTGGAAAACATTTTCACTCGAAACAAACGGACCGTTAGTTCAAAGAATTTGATGTTTGATTAACTGAAAAAGAGCGAGAATATCACTTAAACAAAATATATTTTCAAGCTTCCGCTTACTTATGTGCTGCATTGTTAACTTCTTATTGGTGGATGATTAGAATTTAGAAAGCTGTAGAAAAGCAAAACAAAGAAGAAAATAAAAAGAATGAAATAGATCTCTAATAAGAAAGGAAGGAAACAAGTAGGAAAAAGTATTAATGTTATCTTTTTTTTTTAATGTAATTGTCATTTCTTCTAATAATTTATGATGTTCTAATTGAACCTTTAAACATAGAAGTATCAACATATTAAAAAAGACAAATGCAAGTTCTTTGTTTGCTTGCATTGCAATTTTGTTCTTCATTTATTTTGCATTAAAATAACACGACAAAGTCAAAAATTGCAACGTAGTTTATGGTTTGAGGAAGGATGATATTATGACCTATGTTTTTAATCAGGCAAAGTCGTCAACCACTAATAAAATATAAAGCTAAAACTATTATACATGACAAAGTAAAAATTATAATAGAGAAAAGGGATAGATTGAGTTTCAATAAAACCTCAGGGGGTGTCAAAAGTAAAAATTACCCCTCATGTTTCTCTCTCTAGAAGTACGCATACCTGCACAGATGCCATAACAGACAAATCTCTTTTTCCTATCCTCGTATTGTAAATATCATTTTCACCTTTTTCTGTTTTTTTCTCCGGTGGAGAATTTCAATTTTATTTGGAGCATCAAGTTGTCTCTTTTCATTTTCAAGTAGACTCCTCCGCTCCAAAATCTCTCTCTCTCTCTCTCTCTCTCTCTCTCTACCTTTCTCTCAAGGTATCTCTTTTCTGATGCTGGCTGCAGATTAAGGGAAATTTCGCTCCTTGTGTTTGGAGAGCGAATTCTTGAGCTCTGAAAAAAACAAAGTTCAGGTGAATTGCTTCTACTCTTTTATATCAAGCTGAACTCTTTCTACTTTGTATTCTTTCGCCTTTTGGATTATTCGGATATGTTGTTTTCGTTGAATTCTTTGTTTTCTTGGTTGCGGTTTTATGTTATTCATTCATTTTCTTTTGTTGGAGCTTGAAGAGTCAGACTCTCATGTTTGATTATATAATCAGGTTGATTATTGATTGAGTATTGAAGTTAAAGAGCTCAGTCTTGAATTGAAAGTGTGAAAAATTAAAGTTGAATTTGAGATCCACTAGTTGATGATAAAAAGCTTTCTTGTCCGCTGGATTGCAGTTGCTCTGCTTTCTGCTTATTACTTCTTCTTGACTGGATGTGTTCAAGCGTTTGAATTTGTCTGCAAGGAAAATAATCAACTGGATGATTACATGCTTCTTGTGTTTTTAGGATAAACAAATTATCATTTTTTTTTCCTTTTTTTTCTTTTTGTCCTTATCGTTTCTTTTTTTGGATTAAGATTGCAAATTATTATTATTGGGGTGGCGGTGGTGGTTGCTGACTGGTGGGCCGTGTATTAAGCTTGTTTCCACCTCAATTTCCAGGCTGCCTGACTTTTTTTTTTTTTTTTTTTATAATTTCAATGCAAAGTTGGAGTTAGTGATTTTTTCTTTTTGGATGAGAAAATTCCGGGGTGATCAAATTCAAGTTTATTTTTTCAAAAAAAAAAAAAAAGCTGTCGTGTTATATGTAGATTTTTGTTTGCCTTCTGGAATTGTCTACTCAGAAAGTGTCTTATGTGCCAATTGTCTCTTGTTTTTCCACAGGAATTCAATCAAATCAGGGAAAAGAAAAAGGGCTCAAGTAAACGGAGATTTATGCCACCAACTGGTATGTACTGTTCACATTTAGAATGTTCAAAAAGAAAGGCGTTTTGATGGCTTTTTTTGGTTGGAGCTTAGAGAATAGAATAAACATCACGTCTGTAGTTTTCTTAGCTGTCTATTTGGGTTTAGATTTTGGCTCTCTCAGAGCGCACGGATCAGGATTTCATTAATTAAAATTTCATTAACAAAAATATTTGCATTGGTAATCCAATAATTTATGATTAAAACCCAGCACAACAGTGTACCAGTTTGCATTCACTGAAAACATGGACCAAATTTTCTAGTGGGCCAGACTTGGAGCATTCGGACTTGCCGTCTCCACATGGCATGGCTGCTAGCATTTTGTAGTTTGTATACTACTTAGTAAGTATTAGTGTCCTACTTGGGACTTAGGATTCATTTTTTCTTTTTCTTTTTTTTTTGGTATGGGTTTTTAATTTTATCTAATTTCTTTCTATTTGATCCATATTCCTTTAAAAATAGATGTTTATATGTTTCTTGATTTTTATTTCAGAGAAACAATCATTCCAAAAGTGAAAGAAAGGACAGAAATTGTTTATTGTGAACTTGAGTCTTCCGTTTTGTTTTGGTTAAATCCTTAGATTGCTTATTGGTACTGGTGTTCCATTAAATTTTTTCAGTCCTCTTAACATCTTTTTAGGCACGCAATCTGAATACAACTTACAATGACTGGAGGTGACAGCATTTCCGTTTAGAAGAATTTTTCCAGACTCAGAGAACTGGCATTCCTAGTGATTGTGGCATCCATGTCTCAGTAAGCAATTGAAGACTTCTTTTAGTACTAAATAAAGGAGGAGATGCCGAAGCATCGGTGGAGAGAGTCAATTAAATCCTTTTTTGGAAGCCACATTGACCCTGACAAGGATGAGGAACTTGAAGAATCAAAAGCAGGTATATACACTTCACCTCCGTGATTCAGCTTGGAGTCTGAATATTGATTTCTTAGAGAGAGAGAGAGAGCCTACATTGGTGCAAATTCCAGATGCATTCAACAATACGTACCATCTGCGAAAACAATTGCTGCACTTTGCAAATATATTTCTTCCTTCATTGTTCTTAAGAGTCCAAATAGAGAAAGGGTGTGGAGGGGTAGATGTTGAGTTTACATTTTCTCATAATTTTGTTGCAGAAATGGAGGATAGAGTTCAGAAGATCTTGAAGCTTCTCAAAGAAGATGGTGAGAGAGATGGAAACGGGCCTCTGGCTAACATGATTGAGGATTTCCACAGACATTATGAATCTCTCTATACTCGCTATGATCACCTAACTGGGGAGTTGAGAAAGAGAATCCATGGGAAACATGGAAAGGATACTTCTTCTTCTTCATCCAGCTCAGATTCAGACTCCGATCATAGCCCATCAAAGAAGGGCAGCAAAAATGGAAAAATAGGAAATGACTTTGAGAAGGTAGTCGATGATTATAAGCTAGGGTTAGAAGCTGCAACACTGGAAGTGGCTGATCTCAAGAGGAAGTTGGTGGTTGCAATTGGAGAAAAAGAAACTTCAGATTCGGAATGTCAAAGTGCTTTGGACAAAATACAAGCATCTGAGAAGGTTATGAAAGATCTGAATGTCGAATCTGAAAGATGGAGTGAAGAGAAGTTAAAACTTTTGGGTGAGAATGAAGAGCTAAACAAAAGGTTGGAAATTGCTGGTAAGCTTGAAGCTGAATTAAACCAAAAACTAGCAGATATAAATAGTGAAAAAGACAGCTTAATCTTCGAAAAAGAGGCGACTATAAGTCGAATTGAAGAGGGAAATAAAACTGCTGAGGATTTGAGATCTTATAGCAGTCTGTTAAAGGATGAGAAAGAAGCACTGCAGCTGGAGTTGGAGGCTACAAAAGAGAGCTCTCTAGAGCTGAGAAGAAATTGGAGTCCTCACAGATGCAAGTTGCAGAGCTAAGCAGCATGCTGAGGGCTGCTGAACAGGAAAATAGTTCTCTTTCCTTGAAAATTTTACAGCTCTCAGATGAGATCAAGCAGTTGCAACATAAACTCGAAGATCATGTCACTGAATCTAGCCAGTTGAGGGATAAGTTGGATGAGAAAGCAAAGGAGATTTTGGCTCATGAAACACACAAAAGTGAAGTATCAGTTCATGTCAGAGGTTTGGAAACGGAGCTTGATCTGTTACGCACTCAGAGAGAAGAAATAGAAAAACAGAAAGAAGGAGAACTTTCTGATATGCTGAAGAAACTTGAGGACAAAGAGAAGGATTCATCATCTCAACTAGAGTATCTAACAGCAAAGAAAAAGGATATGCAAGTTGAAATTGATACTGCGCTCAGTCAAAAGAGTGAGTTAGAAGAAGAATTATCGCGTAAAAGCAATGAAGCATCAGCTACAATCAAGGACCTAACAGATCAGATCAATGAGAAGCAGCAGATTCTGGATTCTCTATCTGTTGAGAAAGTTGAACTAGGGAGACTGCTGGAGAGAAGAACTCAAGAAATGTCAGAATCCCTCATTCAGATGGATGCCTTGAAAGAGGAGTTAGCAAGCAAGTCTGCTGATCAGCAGAAAATGCTGGAAGAGAAGGAGAGTTCTATGTCACAAGTGAAGAACCTGGAACTGGAGGTAAGTTCCCTGCTACTTTTAAAAGATGAAATGGAGGATCAGCTTAGAAGCAAAAGCAAGGAAATTACTGAGTTGCATGGGGAGAAGGAGATAATTCAAACTAAAATTTCTGAAATGGAGCAAATAATCATTGAGAAAGAAAGCAAGGTCTCCTCCTTACAGAAGAGGTTGGAAGATGGAGAGATTGAAGCATCTGCTCGATTTGCAGCCTTAACTGAACAAGTTAGCAATCTCCAAGAGCAGTTGAATTCTTTGTCTGCTCTAAAAATTGAATCTGATGCCCTGCTTGAGAAGAAAACTGCAGAAATAGGGGAATATGCCAATCAGGTAGAAAATCTCAAGGAGGAATTAGCAAGCAAATTAGTGGATGGGCAAAGATTGCTGGGAGAGAAAGATGGTTTGCTTGTGCAGATAAATGACCTGGAACTGGTGGTGGAGTCTCTGCGTAGCCACAAAAGTGAATTGGAAGGGCATATAAATAGTAAAGTTGATGAGAGCAACCGGTTAAGTGAGGAAAACAAGCATTTGCAGAGCAAGATTTCTGAATTGGAGAGAGTATTGACAGAAAGGATGGATGAGCTCTTTGCCATCCAAAAGATATTGGATGATGCAAATGTTGAAGCTTCCACCCAAATCGATGCACTGAATGAGCAGGTTAAAAATTTGAGACAGGAGAGGGACTCCTTACAGTCTGAGAAAAGCCAACTGGAATTACAAATGGAGAGGAGAATAGAAGATTTTTCAGCAAATTTGGCTCAAGCAGAGGATCAGAATTCTGAATTACAGAAGAGGTTGGAAGATGGAGAGATTGAAGCATCTGCTCGATTTGCAGCCTTAACTGAACAAGTTAACAATCTCCAAGAGCAGTTGAATTCTTTGTCTGCTCTAAAAATTGAATCTGATGCCCTGCTTGAGAAGAAAACTGCAGAAATAGTGGAATATGCCAATCAGGTAGAAAATCTCAAGGAGGAATTAGCAAGCAAATTAGTGGATGGGCAAAGATTGCTGGGAGAGAAAGATGGTTTGCTTGTGCAGATAAATGACCTGGAACTGGTGGTGGAGTCTCTGCGTAACCACAAAAGTGAATTGGAAGGGCATATAAATAGTAAAGTTGATGAGAGCAACCGGTTAAGTGAGGAAAACAAGCATTTGCAGAGCAAGATTTCTGAATTGGAGAGAGTATTGACAGAAAGGATGGATGAGCTCTCTGCCATCCAAAAGATATTGGATGATGCAAATGTTGAAGCTTCCACCCAAATCGATGCACTGAATGAGCAGGTTAAAATTTGAGACAGGAGAGGGACTCCTTACAGTCTGGAAAAGCCAACTGGAATTACAAATGGAGAGGAGAATAGAAGATTTTTCAGCAAATTTGGCTCAAGCAGAGGATCAGAATTCTGAATTACAGAAGAGGTTGGAAGATGGAGAGATTGAAGCATCTGCTCGATTAGCAGCCTTAACTGAACAAGTTAACAATCTCCAAGAGCAGTTGAATTCTTTGTCTGCTCTAAAAATTGAATCTGATGCCCTGCTTGAGAAGAAAACTGCAGAAATAGTGGAATATGCCAATCAGGTAGAAAATCTCAAGGAGGAATTAGCAAGCAAATTAGTGGATGGGCAAAGATTGCTGGGAGAGAAGATGGTTTGCTTGTGCAGATAAATGACCTGGAACTGGTGGTGGAGTCTCTGCGTAACCACAAAAGTGAATTGGAAGGGCATATAAATAGTAAAGTTGATGAGAGCAACCGGTTAAGTGAGGAAAACAAGCATTTGCAGAGCAAGATTTCTGAATTGGAGAAGTATTGACAGAAAGGATGGATGAGCTCTTTGCCATCCAAAAGATATTGGATGATGCAAATATTGAAGCTTCCACCCAAATCGATGCATTGAATGAGCAGGTTAAAAATTTGAGACAGGAGAGGGACTCCTTACAGTCTGAGAAAAGCCAACTGGAATTACAAATGGAGAGGAGAATAGAAGATTTTTCAGCAAATTTGGCTCAAGCAGAGGATCAGAATTCTGAATTAGCAAACCAGGTTGCAAACCAAGAGAGGAAGTTGAAAGAGCAGGAAAATGCATTCAACAAATTGAGTGATGAATATAAACAGCTAGAGCTTTTGTTTGAGAAGTGCAAGGAAAATCTTAGGGTCACAGAGATAAAGATGACAGAGATGTAGAAGAATCCCAAAAAATTTATGAATCCAAAAATCAGACAGTTAATGAACTGGAAGAAGTTATTGAAGATCTGAAGAGAGAATTGGAAATGAAAGTAGATGAAATCAGTACATTAGTGGAGAATGTCCGGACACTTGAAGTTAAGCTTCGTCTGGCAAACCAGAAGATCCGGGTTACAGAACAGTTATTGACTGAAAATGAAGAAAGCTACAAGAGCAAAGAAGAAAAGTTGCACAATGAACAAGCACTACTTGAAGAAGGATAGCTACATTATCAGGATTAGTTGCTGCACATAAAGAGGCTCAACTCAGACTAATGAGAGATGTTCCAGAGAAGGTTAATGATGTCATGATTGAAATGGACACATTTAACATGAAGTTCGAGGAAGACTATGGCCATTTGGAGTCCTCGAATTTATGAAATCTTGAATGAGTTTAAGGTAACAACGAACTGGATAAAAGAGACGAATGGTGAAAAGGAACAGCTGCGGAAGCAGATATCCATTATAGTAGCAGTTAAGGGATGAGAAAGAACATGGTCTGGTGCTAACAGAAAAGGTAGGAGATATGGAGAAATCCTTACAGAAGGGTGAAGATGAGAAGATCAGTTTAGTTAAAAGCCTGAAAGGTCTTGAAGAGAAGTTGGGACAACTGGAAAAGGTGGTAAAAGAAAAGGATGAGATGCTGGGAGAATTAGAACAAAAGATTAAGAGTAAAGATGATGGGATCTCGGAACTAGGTGAGGAGAAACGAGAAGCTATCAGACAGCTGTGCATTTGGATAGATTACCACCGCAATCGCTATGACGATCTCAAAGAGATGATCTCCAAGACATCTCCTGCAAGAAGGCAGATAACTGCTTAATCTGTTGATTTTTTTCGTATATTTTTTCCTTAGATTCTTTTATTTCGGGTGTTAAATTGAAGATTGTCTCTCTCTGGTCCTTTCCATTTTTCTCAGTACTGTATGGTCAGATATTGTGGGTCTAGGGGCTGATTACTACCGTCTCGTGTTTACCCGTTAGGTTGTATAGAAAGTATTGGAATTGATTTGTTTTGGGTTGCTTGGTATTTTGTCCATGGGAAAAGTAGATATTGAGTAAAGAAACGCCTCATCGTTAAAAATTCTTGATATGGTAGTACGAAACTATTAGCGTGAATGTGATTATTTGTTCAGGTTCTACGTAAGATTGATGTCTTTTTGATCCATAACATCCCAAACCCAGGCCAGTGAGGGACGAAAACAATGGGAAGACAAATTGGAACCATGACTGAGCACACTGATTTTTTACGCAGATGGTAGTGCAGCTTTTGAAACTCGCCACGAGCATACCGGAGCGCCCGGGGCGGGTGTGGTGGTGGCTGGTGGGTGGTGGGGAAATTAAAGAGTAAAAATAGTCAACAATGTAAACCCAAACTCATCTCTAAATAATCAATTACACAAAGATAACAGCGCATAGCAAGCTAAATTCCTAATACGTACATCTACATAATCATTTCTACACATTATTGGCCAAGTAGGAGCGCATAAGAAAGCTACAAAGGAGAAACAAAAATATAGGTGTATAGGATGAGCTATGTGAACACATGCTAGAAGAAGGTGCATAACAATCCTATCAGGGGCACCATGTGAAACAATGAGGGAAATAGACTCTAAGCAGGGTATAAAAGAAAAAGGCCACCATCCCTGCTCAATACCCTTTCCACTGCTCCAACTTGCAAAATTAGTATGATGCTGCAAAGCATATTCTGAACTTCCTCCATTTGTTTCAATCTGATATCTTCATCTCAACTCCAAGAATATCTTTTGCAACTTCATATGTCACAAATGCAATTGCTATTGATGGAACCACCTACATGGAATAACACACCATGATATAAAAAAAATAAATCCACATAAGAAAGTGGATAAAAATAGTCACAAGAAAATAATATGTTTAGCAGCCAACAATCTTGGTTCACAAATTCAAAATACGAAGTTACCTTCACTGAATTAGGGACCAAACCCTTGTACAAAGCCCCAAATCCCTCATGGCGAACTGTTTTTCTGAATGCATCTACCATACCAGAATATTCCAGAGGTACCCTTCTCTTCCCGTCACCATAACTACTGAAGCAGCATCTTTCCAACCTACCATCTGCATTCGCCGGCGGATGACATCAAGTGGGTAAGCCACTGTTTGGCCAATGGTTCCAGCAACAGCACCACATGCAAGTTTTGTTGTTACACTCAACTCAGACTCTTGAATCAGTCCAAGTGGTCTACTTTTAACCAACCAATCCTTCAGAGATTCATATACAGCAAAATTCAGACCCACATAAGGTATCTGCATTTCGCAATTGCTATACGTGAGGGCTCGTCAAACAGAAAATTTAAGAAAAAAAATCACTCTTATATGGTTAAAAATCACTCTTCAAGAAAAAAAACAATGGTTGAATACCAAAAACAGCACCATTACTACTGACCAATCCTTATATCCTGTCTTGTTGCACAATAGTCAATTCTTCTTCTTTTCCTGAATTACTATAACTATGCCAGTTATTGTTCAGCCTATTGACAAGTTCATCATAAATTGCCCCCCCCTTTGTGCATCCAAAGAGGCGCATCATGCAAAAGTAATCAGCAGCACAATACAAAGATGCCACAGAACATTTCAAGTTAGAAAGCTTTAAGTGGAGTGCTAATGACACTATTAAAAGTGGGGACATGCATATGACACACCTGCAGACTGCACCCAAATAAGTAAAGCAGGTATATGTTTAACTGTATATGTCTCCGTAAATTTCCATACAGGCATACATGACTACCAACCATATATTTACCACAAAGCCCACCAAGTATCAAAGTGTAGAACATGCTTCATAAATCAATAACTATATCATCTCTGAGCAATCCAATCATCAACTAGAAGCTCATTTGCAATTTATAAGTAACAGTCAAGCTTATAGCATTCAAAACATCAACAGCATTGAATCAGAAATTGACTAAAGTGAGTGCAGAACCGAAGGAAAAAAGTAATTTCTGATACTTACAACTCCTATGACAGAAGGAAGCCACCCTTTATACAATGCACGAGGCCCTTCTTCCATGAATACTGTTCTTAGAGCATGGAAAATACCTCTGTATTGGGTAGGCGACTTCTCTGTCTGCAAAGAAGAGCATAGGTTAAAACATTAAGATATCATATGCAGCCAGCAACCTCGATGGTATACTTTTTGTGTTCTGTTTCTTTCCAGTTCAGTAGAATCCTTCTAATAGATCACCTTCAGATCTATATATGTCATGAAAACCCTTAAGCAATACCTGGACAGTAAGCCGACCTCGTACCATATCCATTGGGTATGTTGCAGACATGGCTATTATTCCAGCACATGCTCCAGCTCCAAGGCGTAAAACTGGGGTGAGTTCAGCATCCCCTGTAAAAAGCAAAGAAAAGAAAACTAAATTACCTCACGGTCGCTATGAAATCATCTGGAATCCAGGAACCAGCACATCTGACTTGTCAGTTCAAAAGTAAAAAATCAAATAGTAATAATTTTCTTTGGTACAAAAACTCATTTGTACTGACTAGATCATGGACAATATTCTATACATACAAACGTGGTCATCTTGTGAATATTATCTAACAACTTTTATGTCAGGGAAAAAGTTTTCACTGCACTGTGCAGAATTTATCAGAACACTTTTTAAGGGAATATAAACAGCAAGAATGACGTTGCACTCCTCAAGTACCAAAGTGAATGCTTTTTTAATAAATATTGGTCGAAAATATAGGAGCAATCGATGTACTACAGCATACTGAACAAGATAGCAAACATAGCTTGCAACGAGATACATCAAACACAGAGACAGATACAGAGATAGAGAGAGAGAAGGGGGGAAGGCAGGAAGGCTGAAAATCAAGCAACAAGCAACTACTTTTGCCATTCTCATGGGAAAACACCAAGAAGGTACATAGGCAGTAGATGGGAAAAATATGATATTAAATAGACTGAATAAAAAATGCAAGTGATGAAACATTGGATAAAGAAAGAAATGTAAAAAATAAATTCATGAAAATGTAGTGGAAGGCAGAAGTTGTCACACCTCTCCCAGTTTGCTTCCGGTAGAACCATAAGATTTGTCTGTAAGATTATAATTGTTAAAAGAACATGAAAATTGAGAAATGAAGTAAAAATGCAATAAGTAGATGAATACAAAGAAATGTGAAAGCCCACCTCGATGCCTGTTCATAACTAAAGAACTTGACAGCAGAGTTTGGGACAATGCGAGCACAATTAGTGCCATTTCCTTTAAACAATCCCGTGAAACCCTCAGTTCTCCATATATATTTCAACCCTTGAACAGTTCCATTGTATTTGATGCTATGAGGATTTTGAACCTACAGTACACAAAATCAAAAAGAAAATCCATGAGCTAATTTGGCAAGCCTTAAATGATAAATGGAAGTAAAATGAAAGCTAATAGCCAACGTTAGGAAGAATAACTTCCCCACCTGCCTTTGGCTTGGAAGTTGGATAAGAATTTAACCATGTAACGCATTCAAACTATCAGGCAAAATGCAAGAAAGAACCTAAGGAATTGGCAAAGAAAAAAGACATGAACCTACACCATCCACCAGATATGTAATGCAACTATCTTGTAGAGAAAATATCCTGACAACAAAGAGAAATGTTCTTGACATTCATGAAAAAAAGCTTCTCTATCCTTTTTCCTTTATAAATCAGATAGCTTCCAACAATTTATTCCGAATAACCTACACCTAAACATGCCAACAAACAAATCTATAGCAAATAAGCAAAAAGCCAATTTTTGTGAGGCCACATGGCGATGGGGACAAGTGAATTAACTTTATTTTTTAGAGGTAAGTTCCACAAGAAGGTAGAAGACAATAAAAAGATAAATCATCCACAAGATTCCTCTTAAAGAATAAAGATCTATTTCAAGATGCAGTGCAAGTAATATCCCTAGCTAATGACACAGGACACCTATTTTTACATGAAAATCAGAGTGAGCATAACCTGGAGCAAAATTTTCAACCGTTCTAAAGGAGCAACTGCAGTACGTGACCTGAAACACAAGTACATGATACAGATTTAGTCTATGCAGAACAAAAACGGGGGGAAAGAAAGAAGAATAACTAGTCTCTCAAAAGTGATTGAAGTGAATAAGAGAATCACAAATCTCATTTTGATAGATATTCCAAATTTTTGTGAGCCATTGAAGTTATTTATTCAGCGACACTCAAATTGTTAGTACTTCTCATTCTTCCAATCATTCCTGTTTTGAACGTTGTCTCTTTGAGTGAAGCAGACTGTATTGATTATATTAAGGAACAAAGAGAACCAGCCATTACACTTGAATTTTGCCTGGCGTTGGTCAGCTTGAAAGGAATGAAGTTCGCAAAATGATGACATGGCCATGTCAGACACTTTTCAAGACTGACAATTTCTTTCAAGTTCCCAACTTGACAATAAAAAATTAGCAATACGAGTCACATATAAGCTAATAGCATGTCGACCATATAATCATTGAAAAATGAACAAAACTTGAGAAGTTAAACAGGTAAGACCTAATAAAATAACTTAAGAAGTAGTTTTTCAGTAAACTTTAGGTTCCTTATCTTGCTTGTTGCAGCACAATGAAAGAATAGATAAATAAAACCACAAATGCAAAGAAGTAACAATATTTTATCAAGTGCAACTCATACGGTACCAAAAAAATTCAGGACACGTGAAATTAGCAGATGACAATCACATGTTTTCACCGAAAAACCATAGGAACTAAAAAATGCTCTATTTATGTCACGATACTAAACTGCCAATTGACTTTCATTCAACCGCCAAACCTGACACTACATTGACCATGTTAGCATATAAAAGCTAAATGTTGAATGTCACAATGCGTATGAGGCATGCTACTAACTAATTGAACATTTGAAGAATGAAAAGTGATACAATGATGAGACTACATGTACAAAATTATGACCTCTTTCAAATAACATCACTAGAAAAGTAATTTTGAATGTGGTAAACTTTAAGCTCTTAACAGATTTCATTCTCCAGAAGGT